TTTCTATGTAATGTCTTTTTAAAATGCATCAGGGTAATGTATGTCAAATGCATTTATTGACAATGATGTATGAATTAGCAAAAAAAAATGTTATGTATGATATAAGAACAGAAATCAAGCTAGTATTTCAAGCATCAGTAAACTATATGAGTTTACAGATATATAAATTTAAAATAAAGAAATGCTTGTTTAAGCAATCATCATGGAATGATAGGGCTGCTTCAGGACACAGGTAAAATGGAATACATATGTCCACAAAAGATAACACAGATGAGGGGGCTATTGGATTTCCAAATCTGAATAATAATAATAATAATAATAATAATAATAATAATAATCCACGTGCTCCAGAGATTTGTGTGAACAACAGTCTTTAAAGCTGGGGAAGTATTATTGTATAGTCATACTACAGTCAGAGAAATTGAGTCATATAGAGGTTAAATAAACGTTGTTCAGGGCTAAGCATGAAGTCAGAGCTTCAAAAGAAGAAGGAATTCCCTGGATCACTCACCAGGGTGCACACCAAGTTGCACAGCAAGTGCTGTACTTGTTCCATGTCTGTGAGCCCCACTGGCTGCTGGTTGCTCCCACACCTCAGGAGCTCACCCAGGAGCTGAGGAGAGCAGGATTCAGGTGTCTGCAGGGCAGCAGCCTGCAATATCCTGGAGTTTGTAAACATGCTCAGACCTTACCATGCACTGGAAGTTTTGGTGCTCATAAGCCCAGGCTCTCCATTTCCAGCGTGCTGCTTGCACTGAAACCATCATGCTCATAAGAACCAGCACAGTACAACAGCTGCCAGGAAGGCATCTGCTGGCAATTGTCCCATCCTAGGACAAACTGGAACCAAGAGCTCTTGTTCTCCTGAGAGAGTAGCCCTTTTGCATTCAGATCTACATCAAATAATGAAGTTACAAACTTCTGACCTTCTGGAGGATTGTCTCATTTTTTCCCAGACTTCATCCAGATTTATCTCAAGCTAAAAATACTAGAATTTACTCAATTAAGCTTGTGTTGCTGTATTTCCATATCTTCCAGAAGGTTTAGTTCCATTAGAACCTCACCGCCAGCAAACTATAAAGCTTTTCTGTCCAATAAAGTGAACACTTCATAATAAACAATCTTTTAATGTCCACCTCCATCATGGCACCTTCTGTCAAGCACTGCCTGATACATACTAAAAATACAACCAATCTAAAACTCAACTTAGAGAAGATAATGAGATGTAAATTTTGATCATGGCATATATATATATATGAACTTAAAATTCACCTCATTATGAAGGTATAGTTTGAATTTTCTTCCAATTAAATGTTAGTGAAACCTTAGTAAATAACACATTTTATTCCTGTTTGCATAGAGGACTATCTGGCTTAGAGGGAAGCATCTGATAATTTAATGCTTGTATTATCAACTTTTTTTATCCTGCGACCATGCAGATAGGAGTACAAGGTCAGACCAACCCTAAAACTCTAGCTGCTGTACTTAATTCTGCCTTGACTTGTTGACAGCAGCTGCTGATAGGTATCTTTCACAAAGCTGACCCTTGTTTGCTGCTGCTGCTGGAACATTTCTATTGTAATGAGATTCTCAGAGCCTGAACCAAAGGTCACAGTTTTTGAGTGCTCTGCATCCAGTTCATATAATTAAAAGCATTTGTAAACTCCTTGGTTAATGCACCTGTGTTTTTATTTGAGAACTCATTAACTATTATACACATCAAAAGACAATTTTAGAGGAACTGCATTGCTCTGTAGATGTATGGGAATCAGCTGTAAAATAAAGGAAAATAATGAGCATAATAATAATGAAATTGTTCTCCAGGAATGGGATTCATACTGTCAAGACCCTGGAAATGACAGAAGAAACTGGTTAAAACCAGCAAGTTAAGTTGCTTAGTATGTTTTATGTTTTATGTTTCTCAGTTAAGTTTTCCATATTTGGAAAGCACACAGCAAGAATTTTTCAGTCTCTGATTATTTCTTTTGTAATGTTCAGACAGTATTGCTAGAGATTAGAAATAGCATAAAATGAAAAGAATTGCCATTTTGCTAGGGACTATGGTATATATCTTCTTTTCAACCAAAATATGAGGGTTCCTGTAGTGATGGGTGGAATCATACACTTCTGGTCACTCTTCTGCCTGGGTCCTCAGAAGAGGAATGGTGGCCAACCAGTTAAAGTCCTTCAATGAGTATATTTTGACAAGTTCATAGGACCCAAAGGTCCTAATATTTTATTTCTCGAAGTATTTTAATCTGCAACCATTCTGTTGAAATTATCAACATCTCTGCTCAATTGCTGGGTAATCTTAACCTGCCAAAATTAACTTTTCAGCCTTACAATGCTGGGAATATACCAAGCTAATGGTGGTGCTACTCAGGTCAGGATTTTATGTCCTGTGTGTAATGATTTAAACCTTTTCACCTGCACACTCTGTCACTATAGTTTCATTGTTCAGAAATATTGTATGGTTTTGCAGTTTAAGGGGCCAGTGGGGAACACTGCAAAGGCTAACAGCAGATGTGGGTTGCAATTCTTGAGAATAACTGAAGTGTTGAAGCATTTTCTCTAAAGAGAAGTTTTCTGGGTGTATCATCTCAAAATAACTTGAGACCGAGCAATATGGGGAAGTGGTGGACATGACCACACATCAAGTTAGGCCGGTGAAGAAGATGCTCAAAGGAACAATTCTACTGTTTTCTTTGGATGCCTGTTAAAACACCACAATCCAAGTTAGGACTGTAATTTCTGGTGGCTGAGTTATCAGCTAGAGCACTTTTTTTGCTCTGGTCCTGGCAAATAACAACTTTTAGTCCCGCCACTTGTCCTCAGCATTTTCAATTAATTACTGTAAGTAGCAGCATGTAGCATGTACAGATGCTATGTTGCGGCATCTGTACGTCCCATTATTGATACTTAATTTGTTTCCATTGTATGGAAAATTTAAGCTAGCAATTTGTGGAAACTTCAGACCTTTATAATGCTGTCCCTCTGAGGAACTAGCCCTTAAGCGTGGTTTTTTTTTTTTTTTCTTTGATAGTCTCAATGTAGCATTAAGGTGGCTTAGATTACTGAGACCTGTTTGTACAGGACAGGTGGCAAGTTGTTGGTTCCAAACTGATCAGTTATCCACAAACAGCTTTTTTTTCCTTTTGTTTTAAATTAACCAGTAAACTCACGACAGATGTTGAGTAATAGCTTTGCTATGTAGAGTTGCCTAAGCATAGACTTGGGAATGTTATATTTTGAGTATTAACACTTCAGTAAGATTACATGTAGAAGTTGTTACCTGTGATTAGTGGCCCTGTGATAGATAAATATGTTCTACATGAACATTTGTGCAAGCAAAGTTGCCAAGTTCATCAGAGCATCTCATACTCCAACACAACAGCAAAGGCTGTTATTGTGGAGAGAAATAAGAATTCTGTGCACTGCTAAATTCCACAAATACATATAGTAGATCTAATAATTTTGCCCACCACATTTTTTCTAAGTACTAGTGGAGCAAAGAATGATACATTTGTACTCCATTTTTCCCAAACTGTTCTGAAATGTTGTGTGCAAATTTGTTAGAAGAATTTCGGGAATCCATAATCAATTTCAATTTGAATTCTTATGCAGGGAGAACCATTGTAATTGCTGTGTTTGTGTCAGTTGTAAAACATTGCATTTAGTGTGGCAGGAAAGGTATAAAAACAGTACATTAGCTCAGATTATTTTTCTGTCTTTAGTATTCTGACTACTGGTTGCTCCAGGTAAGTTTGCATTTTGTCTGAGATCGAACCTTGTTCTAGGTTTTGTTAAGACTTTAATGTTTCCCTTATCCAGTCAACATAGTAACTGGTCATAGCCAGCAGAGCTCCATGAGAAGAAGATCCTGCTTATCAAGTCTGATTTTGGTTTATGCAATAAGAAAACCTCACCTAGTTGATCAAGGGAAGCCGGTTCATGTAATGTTTCTGGATTTCAGCAAAACTGTTGTCACTGTCTCTCACAGCATCCTTTCAGACAAAATGTCCAGCACACTGCTGGATAAAGACATCATGGGGTGGGGGAGCAACTGGATCATGGGTTGGTCACAAAGGGTTAAAGTGAATGGAGTGACATCAGACTAGTGACCTGTCACTAGTGGGGTTCCACAGGGCTCCATCTTTGGCCCTATCCTCTTCAAAATCTTCATAAATTATTTCAATGCAGGACTGGAAGGGATAGCAAGGAAGTTTGCAGAAGTTACAAAACTGGGAAGAGCCATTGACTCCCATGAAGGCAGGAATGCCCTGCAGAGAGACAAATTAGAGAACTGGGCAATCACCAACCAAAAGAAGTTGAACAAGGGAACATGCATTTGATTCTGCACCTGGGATGGGGCAACCCTGGACATATGGACAGACTGAGGAATGAGATTCTGGAAAGCAGAGCCATGGAAAGGGAGATGGGGTCCTAGTTGGTGGCTGGGTATGAATCAGCAGTGCCCTGGCAGCCAGGGGGGCCAGCGTGCCCTGGGTGGGGGCATCAGGCCCAGCATCAGCAAGGGAGGGATTGTCCTGCTCTGCTCTGCACTGGGACAGCCTCACCTCGAGTGCTGAGGGCAGTTTTGGGTGCCACAATATACAAAAGTAATTAAAATATTAAAAAGTGTTCAAAGGAAGACAACAAAGATGGTGAAGGGCCTTGAGAAGAAGCCATGTGAGGAGTGACTGAGGACACTTGGTCTGTTCAGCCTGGAGGAGATTGAGGGCGGATCTCACTGCAGTTACAACTTCCTTGAGAGGGGAGGAGGATGGATGGGCACTGATCTCTGTGGTGACCAGGGACAGGACCTGAGAGAATGGCCTGCAGTTTTGTCAGGGAAGGTTTAAGCTGGATGGTTCTTCACTCAGAGGGTGGCTGGGCTCTGGAACAGGCTCCCCAGGGAGTTAAAAAAGCATTTGGACACCATCTTAACAGACTAACATTATTCAGCATTTGGACAATGCTCTTGGGTAACTCTTGGGGGTCATCTTCTGAATGGCCAGGAGGTAGACTTGATGATCCTTGTAAATCCCATCCAACTCAGCTTATTCTGTGAATTCTGTGATTCTGTGAAGACAAAATTTTTTAAGTGAATTCAGGAGCTGTTTATTGAACAACTAGATATGAATTATTTTAGAAATTCTAGGAAACTAGGAATATAAACCTTGATGTTTAGCAAATGTCTACACAAATTATTTTAGTGTACTTTCCATTCCCTCAAAGAGTTTGTTCCATGCATAATTGTGCTGTTCTGCCTCAGGGACCTTCAGTTTCTCCAACTATGAGATATTTGCTTTCAACAGGACATCATCCTTCCATATTAGCTATGTGGGGGGTTTTCTCTTCTATCATTTTGGATTTTTTAACTTGAACCAAAGGATGTTAATCTGTAATCAACCAAAGAATGCATCACCAGAAATTTAATTTTGATTAATTGAGAACAACCAGGACTTTAGAGAGAATATATAGAAATGAATAGTTTATTAAGGAAGCAAAACTTTTGGCAAAGCTGGATGTTGAGATATCAGGGAAAAAAAAAGAGGTCCTAGAGAGAAAGCTGAAGGAATAATTACTGGAAATAATAGCCAATGAAAAATTAAACTTGTAGAGGATGGAAGGATTGAGAAGGCATAATTTTCAGGTAAGAAAATTTTCAAGATTTCTTTTGTATACTTTTCCTTTATTCACGGAACAGATCTCACATACTATTTAAACACAATATACCTCTCTGGGATATGTTTAAAGCATATATCAAAAATATGGTTATTTAGAATTACTAACAAAGAATACTGCTCAGCATCTCAGCTATGACTGTATATAAAACACCTTTGATACTGATGGATGGCAGTGAGCATTTACCAGTGGTAAAGAAGATATTTGGTCAATTGTAAATTATATGTAGCATTTGTAAAATAACACCACAGCAAAATGTTATCACAAAAACTACCTTCTCTGGAGAAGTCAAAAATTAATTTCTCAGTAAGAACTGTGAATCACGCTTGGCTGATAGGGTCATTGTCTCAATACAAAACAGATATATTGATACTTGAACAAGTTCTACAGTGTGATCAGAGAAAACATACAGCACAAGGAAAATCAAAGCAAATCATTGCATTGTGCATCAAAGCCATTTCTGTGCTCTACAGCTCTTTCCCTCCTCAGCCCTCAACATTCATATTTGTGCATGTGTATTCTCTCTCCTTTTTTTCCTTCATCCTACAGTTATGCCCTGTGATATATGCTGCTTATAGGGATTTATGTGAGTCAATTTTTAAAATTAAAGGCCAATATACTGCAGCTTAATAACTGTCCATGATTGCTTCTGTCAAAATTGCCATTTGTCCTCCTAGTTTGCTCTTTGTAGGTGGGTTTGTGTATCCAGTTTATCAAATAATTCTGTTTGGATTCTATTGGAGCTGAAACTTCTGCCATTTCTAAGATTCTGTTGAGAAATTTAGAAAGGCATTTTGCCCTCACTAAAGAAACAAACCAACAAACATCTCCAGAACGAGAACAAAATTGCTCTAACTTTTTGTAGTAAGATAAACATTTATGGTGATATTGTGAAAATGTGCTTGTAAAACCACGCTGCTAAAAAAAAAAAATGTGGAACTCATTCCTGTTTATTAGTTTCTTTGAAGAAATTGTTATATGTAATTGACTATTTTGAAGGGTTTATGAAAAGTCCAACTTCCATGTGAAATTTTAAAGCCCTTTAGGTTGCCAGTAGAACAAAAGTAATTTTCAGTTACAAACCAAGTTGAACCAAATAGACTACAAAAATAACAACATGCAGTTTAAGGTGCATTTCTGGTAAAATTGTTTTTCTGTCCCATATTTAAAATTAAAAAAAAGATGAAGAGGTGATTTTGATTTTGTATCAAGAGGCTGTAATCAATAGCATCTTCCCTTTTTACCTATTTGCTCTATTCCCTTCACTAAATCGCAAATAAGCTACAATAAGGTGGTTCAGCATTTGGGTAGCTTTGTGTGCATGCCTGAACACAAACCTACCCAAATGCTTGTCTGGTCACACAAAAATTGTAGTTGTGTTTGCTGCTGCTACAGAAGCTGACACAGCTGATTCATAAAATTCTTCAAATTTATTTTAGGTGCCTTTAAAAATAAACCAAAGGATGAAGAGTGCAAGGGAATAAAAAAAACCAAACCAGAGGTAAAGAAAATAAATAATCCTGATGCCATTTTAAAAAAGGTCTTGAAAGAAGGCAGAGATGGTCTAAAGACAAGAAACATTGATGAAGAAAACCCAGCATGAAGAATTGTCTATGACCAATGTTCTATCTCTTCACACTGTACTTATAGACCGTCCATTAATGGTGATGCAAAGCTCCAGGCTGATTGCCATGGCTAGGATCCAATTTCATAATCCATTAGCAATCCTTACCTCTTGAAGCTTCTTCTGATCAGACACTGTTTGTGATAAGGAAATTACACATTAATTTGTTCAATAGAATTTAAAATTAGGCTCACCAAGACTGCCCTTGGCAACAGACATGAACCGATCGATGTTAACTGTTCCCTAATTTCATTTATTGTTCAGTGTTGTTCTATTTAGTCTTGCAATCCATGGTATTCATAACTAAAAAGAAGAGCAAATTACAACCTCTCTGGCAGTTCTAATATAAACAAAGTTTTGGGTCTAATGGATCTACAAGCTAATTTAGAGGTTGACTTGTTGCAAAAGAGCTTCTAGTAAGACTTTCATGGCTTATGTTTATGTAACTGAGGGGATGCAGGCAAATCACTGCTGCTACTTCACAGCTCTTTAGCAGATATGACTGAATGGTTGACCCATGTACTCAAAGCAGTCCTGTGGGTTTGTATTTATGCAGCATTGGCAGTGAATATTCTAACCTGTGGTATGAATAGTTTGGTTTTATTTAATGAACTACCAATGACTAGCTTAGATAAAAAAGGGTCTATAATGTTATGTCACAGGCAGACAGAGATACTGTGATTATATGTAAGAGCAATGTTCTTCCTCTGACCTAGTAACCTTCTGACATGTCCTTCTGCTTAAGTTAGAGACTGATAAAACCACTAAAGCAAACCTCTACAAGAAAGCTGAAGCCTGTATTCCCTGCTGCCTTAAAACTCCCAAGGTCTCATGAAGAGAGAAGTCAAAGCCCTTCCACAAGCAGCTATTGGCTTTCAAAGAAAGAGTTTTGTGCTCAACCTGCCTGCCAGCTGCAAAGCACATCTGGGGCTAAGGGCTTCAAAACCCATATCCATCTCTTCTTTCTGACAACAGTATTGTTACCACTAATTAAAGATAATTCTAGAAATCTCCTTGGGCACACATAGCCAGTTGGTGAGGTTTAATAGTTTGGACTCTAAGCCTTTTTTTGCCCTGATGTCCTGTGCTCTGCATCCGCTGTGCTGGTGTTGTCCAAGGTGCAATGCACAGAGGGGCAAAATATAAAATGCTGCCAGCAAGGCCCAGAAGAGGAGCTGCCAAGCCTACTTCTAAAAATAAATGATGATGGGATGGAGGTTCATGGATGATTTTATGTAGAACAAGACAGCTCATTCTCTTTCTCAGTGAATCGTGGACAGTTATTAAACTGCAGTATATTGGCCTTTAATTAGTAGGAAGAAGAATATGATTAGAGAATTTAGGAAGGTATGGAACAAAGTCCAAATAAGTTTTTCTCAATAACTTTTTCCCTTTAAGAAATCCCTAAGGTTTTTTAAGATCATGATACTAATTTAAATATCTGCTACACTCTCGGTCGTGCCTCCTGTGAATGGTAGGAAGTTGCTTTGAGAAAACTTATCCAATGATGAAGTTTTTATATTTTGCATTTTCAAACTGTACTTCATGTTAACAATAAAAACCTTTTTTACTTTTATTTTTTTTCCAATGCCTTAGATCATTTTGGAAAGCATCCCTGCTGGGTCCCTTGTAGGCTGCCTACTCCTCTCATGTATAAAGTTCATGCCGTTTGTGAAGGCAGTTTAAATTCTGACAGACTGGCGTCCAAGCTGGCGCTCTGAACGCTAGTGACCGACAGGGGAACTCGCACTTTCCCAGCCGTCTGTGCAGAACTGGTTTGAGCAGCCCCTTCTGGGACACGCCAGCCGTGCTTCCAGACATCCTGTTGGAGTGCCACCTTTCAGGATGCCTAGGGACCATGCAGCTGCTCCACACCAGGAGGACTTCGCTCAAAATAAAAATGACAATAATGCACTCATTCCCACCTGGAGCTGTGCATAGCAGTGATCATGCCATTTCCTGCTCAGAAAAGCTCCGTTAGGACTTTTAAATAAAATTAAACATTTAAAATGTTGAAACTGGATGTGATTTGTCTTTTGGCCATCTGGAATCACAACCTGTCCAGATCAGATGCACGTATCCAGAGCATTCTTAGTCCTGCCATTGGCTGTGTGCCACGTTGCTGATTCCAATGAGATTTACCATACACATGGGCTGTTGCTTTTGCCTTTTTTAACCCAGCTATTTCCTTCTGCACTCTTTATGCCTGAACCTTATAGGCTGTGTCATTTGGTCTTTTGATACACTGAAAAACTGCTGCCCAGTGTCCCATCCCTTGCCTTAAGACCAACGTGTATGGGAGTTTTCAACAGTTCTGCCATTTATAAAGCACCATTACAGTTGTGCACTGCTGTTGTAGCTGTGCTTTCTGATTGAACCAATGCCTTCAAAGTAATTTTGCAAGTTGCAGGGTGAATTAGTTTTTGATGTAGAAATCTGTGTAAATTGTCCAATGCCACTTAAACAGTAACTTGTCCATTTGTCCTTCAGTGTGGCACCAAATGTTCTTTTAGGTAAATTGCTACACTATTCTACATTATGACATTACCTCACTTTGCCAAATGTGGTTAAAACAGTCCTGTAAAACATTTAGCTGGTGTGGGACTCACACTGGCCTTCTCAAATTGAGATCTTCCCTTGAGTTTAACTTCAACAGGACACAGTTAAGTAGTCATATATATGCCAAAACCAGTTCCAGTTCTGTATTATCTACTCCCTTTACCCACCCCCCCAAAAAAAAACCAACCAAACAAACAAAAAACAGAACAAA